TGCACATTTCAATATAATATTTGGCTTTGTCTTCTTGTGCTGCCCATTGAAATTTTCTGTTAAGCTCTTTTGCCTCTTCATTCCATTTGCTTTAGCATCTCTGCACTGGAGAGCAAGTTTCAAAGTCTCTTCAGAAAACAGTTTTGGTCTTTTTCTTGTTTTCTTAATGACCTTTTCTTTTTTCCTGTATGATGTTCTTGATGTCATCCCACTACTCTTCTCTTCTTCTTCATTAATGTCTAATTAATCAAATATGTACTTGAGATAATCTCTAAATTCAGGTGAGATATGTTCAGAGTCATATTTTGGCTCTCGTGGTGTTTTAATTTTCTTCTGCATCAGTCTGAACTTGCATAAGCTCAATTAGTGGTGTGTTTTACAGTTCTACAGTCTGTCCCTGGCATTGTTTTGGCTGATGATATGGAGCTTTTCCACTGATGCATCACTGGAGGCACTCTCTCATCTATTGCAAGAAATTTGGAAGCCAACTACCTGGCCCAACAGATTGAAAGAGATCCATATTTGTGCCCATTCGAGAGAGGTGACCCAACAGAATGCAGAAATCATAGGACAACATCATTAATATTGTATACAAGTAAAATTTTACTAAAGATAATTTGAAAACAACTGTAACAGTCCATTGACAGTGAACTGCCCGAGGTTCAAGAAGGATTCTAATATGTTTCTGCCAGCTTGCCTGCAGAATTCATTCCATCTCATCTTAATAATAAACCTATCTAATCTTAATAAACATTTCTATAATGTCTGTTACAAAAGTTATATGTACAAACATCATTTATGTTGTTGTTAGGTTCCATCCAGTTGGTGGTTGTTAAGTACCGTGGAGTCGGTTCTGACTCATAGTGACCTGGCACAGGGTTTCTGAGGCTGCAAATCTTTACAGGAGCAGAAAGCCTCATCATTCTCCCGAGGAACAGCTGGTAGTTTCCAACAGCTGACCTTGATGTTAGCAGCCCGATTCATAACCACTAAGCTACCAGAGCTCCTTACCAACTCATAAAGACCTTATGTACAACAGAATGAAACACTGCCCAGTCCTGCGCCAACCACATAAAAGTTGCTATGCTTGAGTCCATTGTTGCTGTCACTGTACCAATCCATCTCATTGGCGGTCTTCCTCATTTTCTCCGACCATCCACATTATCAAACATGATGTTCTTCTCCAGGGACCGGTCCCTCCTGATAATATGTCCAAAGTATAAGAGATAAAGTGGCCATCCTGGCTTCCAAGGAGCATTTTGGCTGTACTTCTTTCAGCACAGATTTGTTTGCTCTCTTGTCAGTCCGTGGTACTTTTAGTAGTCTCCTTCAAAATTATCTCATATGCATCAATTCTTCTATGCTCATCTTTATTCATTGTCCACCTTTCACATGTGTATGAGGTTATTGAAAATACCATGGCTTGAGTCAGAGGTGCACCTTAGTCCTCACACTGACATCTTTGCTCTTCAGTACTTTAAAATGGTCTTGTGCAGCAGATTTGTCTAATGCAATACCTTGTTTGATGTCTTTTGCTGCTTCTATGGGAGTTGATGGTTGGTCCAAGCAAAATGAAGTCTTTAATATCTTCAGTCTTTTCTCTACCTATCTTGATTTTATTTATTGGTCCAGTGGTGAGGATTTTTGTTTACTTTACATCGCGATGCAACCCATACCCAAAGCTGTGGTCTTTGATGTTCATCAGTATTTTAAGCCCTCTTCTTATTCAGCAAGCAAAGTTGTATCATCTGCATATCGCAGGTTGTTAATGAGTCTTCCAATCTGATGCCACATGTTTCTTCATATAATCCACCTTCTTAAATTATTTGCTCAGCATGCAGATTGAATAGTGTACTTAAAGACTACAACCTGTTACATACCTTTCCTTATTTTAAACCATTCAGTGTTCTCTTTATTTCTTCAAACTACTTCCTCTTGATCTATGTACAGGTTTCTCATGACCACAATTAAGTGTTCCAGAATACTCATGCTTCACAATGGTGACCATAGCTTATCATGATCCACACAATCAAAAGCCTTTGTGTGGTTAATAAATAAAGCACATGTAAATATCTTTCTGGTATTCTCTGCTTTCAGCCAAGATCCATCTGATGTCAGCAGTGATATCTCTCGGTCCATGTCTTGTCTGAATCCAACTTGAATCTCTGGCAGTTCTCTGTCAAAGTATGGTTGCTTTACCTTTAGCAAATTTTACTTGCATGCGATATAAATGATACTGTCTGGTGATATCCACATTCCGTTGTGTCACCTCTTGAAATGGGCACAAGTATGCATCTCTTCCAATCAGTTATTCAGGTTACTGACATTCAAATTTCTTGAACTAGGTCAGTGAGTGCTTCAGTGCTGCATTAGTTGGTTGGAAGATTTCAGGTACCAGTCCATCAATTTCCGGTGTCTTGTTCTTTGCCAGTGCTTTCACTGTACATTGGACTGTATCATTGGCTCTTGATAATATACTAACTTTTGAAATGATTGAATATTGACCTTTTCTTTTTGATACAGTAAATCTGTGTATTCCTCTCATCTTGTTTTGATGCTTTCTGCATCATTCAATACTTTGCCTATAGAATCCTTCAGTGCTGCAAGTGGTGGCTTGAGTGTTTTTCTTTAGTTCCCTTTGCTTGAAAAATGTTGAGTATGTGCTTTCCTTTTAGTTTTCTAATTCCAGATCTTTGCACATTTCTTTATAATATTTGACTTTGTCTTTCAAGCTGACCTTTGAAATTTTGTTTTCAGCTCTTTTGCCTATTCATTTCTTCCATTTACTTTAGCATCTCTATGCTGCAGAATAAGTTTCAGAATCTCTTCTGAAATTCATTTTGATCTTTTCCTTCTTTCTTGTCTTCTTAATACCCTTTTGCTTTCTTTCTGTGTCATGTTCTTGATGTCATCCCACAACTTTTCTGATGTTTAGTCATTAGTGTCTAGTTCATCAAATTTGCTCTTGAGATGATCTCTAAATTCAGGTGGGATAGATATATTCAAGGTTGTATTTTGCCAATCCTGGATGTGTTTTAATTTTCTTCAGCTTCGGTCTGAACTTGCATATGAGCAATTCATGGTGTGTTCCACAGTGTGCCCTTGGCCTTGTTTTGGTTGATGATATGGAGCTTTCCCACTGTTAACTTTCTGCACCTGTAGTCAGTTCACTTTTGGAGTATTGCATTTGATGAAGTCCATGTGTACAGTTGTCTTTTATGTTGTTTAAAAAAGGTAGTTGCAGTGAACAAGTCATTGGTTTTGCAAAAACTGAATCTTCCTGTGTTTTTCCCCTGCACATTCCAGTCACCAGTAATTATCAATACATCTTGATGTCTTGTTTGATCAGTTTCAGACAGAAGATGTAGTAAGTGCTTATTAAGTGTTTACTAGATTTTAATACACAGGCACAGGAGGCACTCACTCATCTCTGCCAAAAAATTTGGAAGACAGCTATCTGGCCTACTGATTGGAAGAGATCTGTATTTGTGCCCATTCCAAAGAGAGGTGACCCAATGGAATGCGGGTATCATCAGACAATCTCTTTGATATCCCATGCGAGTGAAGTTTTACTAAAGGTAATACAGAAACGGCTGCAAGCAATCATTGCAGAGAACTTCCAGAGGTTCAAACCAGATTCAGAAGAGGCCGTGGAACAAGGGATATCATTGCTAATGTCCGATGGATCTTGGCTGAAAGTGGAGAATATCCGAAAAATGTTTACCTGTGCTTTATTGACTATGCAAAGGCTTTTGATTGTGCGGATCATGAAAAGCTATGGACAACATTGCGAAGTATGAGTATTCTGGAACACTTAATTGTGCTCATGAGGAATCTGTACTTGGACCAAGAGGCAGTTGTTTGAATAGAACATGGGAACACTGAATGTTTTACAATTAAGAAAGGTATGTGACAAGGTTGTATTCTTTCACCATACTTATTCAACTTGTATACTGAGCAAATAATCCGAGAAGCTGGTTTTTATGAAGAAAAAGGTGGCATCAGGATTAGAGGAAGACTGAGTAACACAGCCTGCGATATGTAGATGATACAACTTGCTTGCTGAAAGTGAAGAGAACTTAAAACGTTTACTGATGAAGATCAAAGAACACAGCCTTTAGTATGGATTGCATCTAAATGTAAAAAAAGCAAAAATCCTCAACCACTGGACCATTAAACAACATTCTTATCAACAGAGAAAAGATTGAAGTTGCCAAGGACTTCATTCTTCTTGGATCAACTATCAGCACTTACAGACCAGCAATCAAGAAGTCAAATGACGTATTGCATTAAGCAAATACCCTGCGCAAGACCTTTTTAAAGCATTGAAGAGCAAAGATGTCACCTAAAGGACTACAGTGCGCCTGACCTAAGCCATGGTATTTTCAATAACCTTTCATATGCCTGCGAAAGCTAGATAGGCAATAAAGAAGACAGTAGAAGAATTGATGCTTTTGAGTTATGGTTTTGGAGGATTATATTCAAAGTGCCATGGACTGCCAAAAGAACCAATAGTTCCGTTTTGTAAGAAGTGCAGCCAGAGTGCTGCTTGGAGGCCAAGGTGGTCAAACTTTGTGTCTCATACTTCGGACATATTGTCAGGAGGGACCAGTCACTGGAGAAGGATATCATGTTTGGTAAGGTGGGAGAGTCAGAGAAAAAGGGGAAGACCCCTATTGAGATGGATTGGCCATGTGGCAGCATCGATGGACTCAAGCTTGGCAACAGTAGTGAGGTTGGCCCAGGATGGGGCAGTGTTTCTTTCTGCTGTGCATAAGGTCGCTATGAGTCAGCACCGACTTTATGGCACCGAACAGCAACAACAAGATTTTAATATAAATCCTTTTAAAGTTTAAGCAGTTGTATTGGTTTCAGATTCTGGTTTTTCACCTGACATTTTCAAGCAGTATCTTCACACTAGAACCTTAGTATATATTTGTAGAATAAATGAATATTTCCAGTGATTTTAATTGTTTTTAATTGTGTTCTGTTTTTTGTAGTTTGAGGTGGTATCAACATCCTACCGAAGAAGAATTAAGAATTCTTGCAGGGAAGCAGCAAAAAGGGAAAAGCAAAAAAGAAAGGTGAGTTAAATTGTTGAGCAAGTAAGATGTTAAATACTTAGTGCAATTTTTTTAACTTTTTTTTCTTTTTAATACTTTTGTTAAAGATACATGTGTTAATTATGCTTTATGCAGTTGATCTATGAGATCAAAACCCATGGTCTAAGATAATTGAATCAGTCTTCTTTTAGAAAATATTTAGTTAACTAAATGTAGACACCCAGAACAGTGTTTAATTTTGTACTCATGAATGATTACTTTTGTTGTTTTTATTGTTTATATTTTTAAAATAAGGTCATCATCATATTAAGGAAACTTTTGGTGTAGGATAGAATTGAGGAAAGACGTAACTCTTGTCTTTGCTCTACAGTTTTCAAAAATGTTACTGGGTTTGTGTGCTTTTTCAGGAACCGACTCCATGGCCCATAACCACCGTCATTCAGCTCTTAAATATTTAGATCCATGTTTTTGAAGAAAATTGCCTGCTAATTAGTAAACCTCACTGAAAGGACCATCATAGCATCATGTGTGAAATGGAGGGATTAGTTAGTTATTTTGAAGGACTTTTTAACTTAAAAAGTCTATCTCTGTATTTAAATTAAGGAGCTCTGGTAGCATAGTTGTTTTGAGTTGGCCTGCTAACCTCAAGGTGTCAGCAGTTTAAAACTAGCAGCCATTCCACAAGAGAAAGATGAGGCTTTCTGCTCCCATAAAGATAACACAGCCTCCAAAAACCCTATATAGGGTCGCTATGAGTTGGAACAGACTCCGCAGCATACCACCACCACCACCACATAAGTAAATTGAATTCCTAAGAAAACTGCACCTAAGAGTGAGTCTCAGATTCCTCAGTTGGACATCTAGGAGGACTTCTGGGCTTTGAAATCATGATTATGAAGCAGCATTACTAAATAATCAAAGATAATAATGTATTCCACATTTCTCATATATGTCTTAAAAATACTATAGCCTAAAATATTTGAAGTTTTTTAAAAATGATTCCTAAACATGAATCATGGAGTCCTGGTGTGGCGCTGTGGGCTAATGTGTCAGAGTGCAGAGTTTGAACTGCAAGGTCAATGGTTCAAGCTCACCAGCTGCTACTTGGAAACCCTATACAGGGTCGCTATGTGTCAGAATTGACTCGGCGGCATTTAACAACAAACATGAATCATAATTTTGCTTAAAATATCTGGTCTTACTTACATCCTCATTTTTTTACCATAGAAATATATCTTAAAGCTTATTGTAGTTATTTATTGTAAAGCCTCCTACTTTGTGTTCCACTGCCAAATAATGTTACTCTACAGAGCACTGTTTTATGCAGTTTTACACAATCTGAAAAATAAACCTGAGTAATAACATGGTGGCTCTGTAGGATAATCACAAGACTGTGAATCAGAATGTTGATGGTGGTTTGAGCCTACCAGAGTTTTCACAGTTGAAATATGAGGCTTTCTGTTCCCACAAAGATCTAAACCCTTGGAAACCCTTAAAGGTTGCTATGATTTGGAACTGATTCAAAGGCATTTAACAATAACAATCAGCTATTAATACACTATTATTTCCATTTTATTGATGAGGAAGCTGGTGATTAGCGATAATAAGTGGGTTGCCAAAATTTCCAGAAGTTTTAAGTATAATGATTTTAATAAAGATTGGTTTTCAGTTTCTATATTTCTTTTTAACATTCCAGCTCAGCCTGTCTATACTTTCCATGTTCAATATTTATAAAGTTTAGTTACATACTATAGTGTTCATTTTACTAATATTTGGGTGCTCACTGAGGCCTTGCATTCAATTGTTGTTGTTAGGTGTCAATGAGTGGGTATCGACTCATAGCGACCCTATGCACAACAGAATGAAACACTTCCCAGTCCTGGGCCAACCTCACAATTGTTTGTACACTTGAGTCCATTGATGTGGCCACTTTGCCAAACCAATAACAATTGTTGCATTCAATAATTGTTATTTTTTTAATGATAAACTTTTAAAATATGAAGTACTTAACATTTACAAAATTATAATCTAAAGTCACTGTTGTTTTCTATCAACATAACTAATGGTTAATCTGTTGACACAAAATAACATGTGTATTGAGCTTTTACCTCTTTGTATTTATTTTTAAATACAGTGTTATTTTCTGCTATTGTAATTAATGTTATGAAAGTTAATATATTATTTTCTGTGTGCATCTTACTTTCTCTTTAAAATTACGTTTGGGAGTGGTAATGTTGTTAGGTAACATCCAGTCAGTTCCAATTCATGTTATGATTCTAGTCAAAACAGAAGAAAGCACTGCCTGGTCTTGGATAATCCTTACAGTTGTTGATGTATTTGAGCATGTTGTTGCTTCCATTGCCTCAGTACATCTCCTTAAGGGTTGTCTTCTTCCTCCTGACCCTTGACTTTATGAAGCATACTGTTCTCCAGGGCCTGGTCATCCCTGACAACATGTCCAAAGTAGAAGATAAGAAGTTTTGTTACCCTTTCTTCTAAAAGGATTCTGGCTGTACTTCTTCTAACACAGGTTTCTTTGTTCTGACAACCCATGGTACTTTCAATATTTTTTGGCAACACCATCATTCTAATGCATTGATTTCTTCTACAGTCTTCCTAATTTATTGTCCAGATTGCAAAAGCGTTTGTTTGGTTGGCTAAGTGCCATGGAGTCGGTTCCGACTCATAGCGACCCTGTACAGAGTTCTCCAGTGGAACAGCTGATAGTTTCGAACTGCTGACCTTGTAGTTTGCAGCCTGATTCGTAACCACTATGCTACCAGAGCTTTTAAGGCAATTGAAAATACCATGGTTGGTTCAGGTGCACCTTAATGCTCAAAGTGACATCTTTGCTCTTGAACACTTTAAAGAGATTTTTTGTAGCAGATTTGCTTAATGCAGTATGTCAATTTTTTAAACTTTTTATTGTGAATTGAATTTGCAACAACCAGAAGGTTTATAGAACAGATCATCAGTCCCACATTCAACAAATCATAAATTTTATGTCATTACAATGATTGCAAGCCCTTCCATGTACCATCAGTTAATTGTATTTATCTTTATTCACTTTAACTCCGACACCCTGCCTCTCTTCCACTACCTTCATCTTTCTTTCACCAACCTCCATCTTGTTGTATATCGCTTTGCCTATTATCCAAGTTAATAATTTACCCCATGAATAATTTTCCCTTCCCTTCTACCCCTGGTACCATCATAGAATGTTTCCTTTATCAAGTAAATCTTAACTTTTTACGATAGTTGTCTCAACAGTATTTTTTGGTCTGTGACTGACTAACTTCACTCAGGTTCATCGTATGTTTTGCAGATTCATCATTATTCTTGACTGTAGCACATTGTGTGTATGTTCCAAAGTTTGTGTTCATTCTGCTACTCCATGTCTCTTGACTGGTACATTTAATCCATTTAATGTAGTTTTAGATAGGTATGAATTGATTGCTTTCATTTTGCTGTGTGTTGTTTGTGGTGTTCCTAGTATCTTTATTCCACATAAATTTCTCTGCTGAGTTCATTTTGTTTGTGGGTATTCTTTTCATTTTCTTCATTGCTGGTGCTTTAATATTTACTAAATCTTTCTGATTTTCCTCTTTTCTTTTTTGATATAAGCATGTATTAATTTTCCTTGACCATCCACTCTACCAAGCTTGGTGTCTTTCTCTAGCAGTGAATCCCTCCTGATAAGATGTCAAAAAATGAGAAGGGATTCTTGTCATCCTCGTTTCTAAAGAGCATATTCTGGTTGTACTTCTTTTGGCAGTTCATTGTAATTTTAACATTCTTCTCCAACACAACAATTCAAATACATTAATTCTTATATGGTCTTCCTTATTCATTGTCAAATTTTCACATGCATCTGAAGTAATTGAAAATACCAAGGGTCAGGCACACCTCAGTACTCAATCTGTTATTTTTGCTCTTGAACACTTTAAAGAGGTTTTTTTGCACCAGATTTGCCTAATCCAGTATGTCGTTTGAGTTTTTAACTGCTGCTTCCAGTAGTGTTGATTTTGTATCCAAGAAAACAAAGTCTTTGACAACTTCTGGCTTTTTTCTCCCCCCTGTTTTATCTTGATGCTGTTTATTCCAGTTGCAAGATTTTTTTTTTCTTACTGAGATCCTCCAATATTGCAACTCTAGGCTTTTTTCTTCAGTTCTTTCGGCTTGAGAAATGTTGAACTCCAGGTCTTAGCACATTTCATTCTAATACTTTGTCTTCTTGTACTACCCTTTTAATTTTTTGGTTTAGCTTTCTTCCTTATTTCTTCCAGTTGCCTTAGCAACTTTGCACTGGAGAGCAGTTTCAGAATATCTTTTGACATCCATCTTGGTCATTTCTTTTTTACTTTCTTCATGGTTAATGTTCTGATGTCATCCCACAACTCCTCTCGTTGCCAGTCACGACTGTCCAATGCATAGAATCTGCTGTCAACATGGTCTTTAAATTCAGGTCGGGTATGCTTAAGTCATGTTTTGGCATTGTGGATGCATTTTCTTCAACTTCAGCCTGAACTTGAATATGAGTAATTGATGACCTGTTTCCACATTGGCACCTGTCGCTAGTTTTGACTGATGATAATTGAGCTTCTCTATCATCCTTTCTCACAGATGTACTCAGTTTGAACTGACTAGGTCAATATACATAGTTACCATTCATATTGTTTAAAAGTATTTGCAATGAAGAAGTCATCTGTTTTGAAAACTTCTATCTTGTGATCTCCAGCATCATTTCTATCAGCATTTTTCCAACTTTCACATTCCAATCATCTTGGTTGCGTGTTTTTATCAATTTTAGACTAAAGAAATTAATAGAATTCTTCAAGTTCATCATTACTGATTTTAGTGGTTGGTGTGTAAATTTGAAGAGTGACAATAACTGGTTTCCCTTCTAGTCATATCAATATTATCTTGTCACAGACAGTATTATACTTCAAGATACATCTTGAAATGTTCTTTTTAACGATGAATGTGATGCCATTCCTCTTTAGTTTGTCTTTCCGCATAGTAATAAATCTTATTATTTTCCAAATTAAAATGGCCAATATAAGTCTTTCAGCTCACTAATGCCTAGATATCAATTTTTATGTGTTCCATTTTATTTTTGATCACTTTTAATGTTTCTAGATTCTTCATTTCTATTAATAGATATTTGCAGCTGTTTTTCTGTTTTTTTTTTTTTTTTTTTTTTTTTCTGTTGTGTCCCATCAGCAAATGAAGGATCCCAAAAGCTTTGCACCATTTACTTTGAGGATTGAGCTGTTTCCCAGTTGTATTTTCAGCGTCTTCTAACCTGAGAGGCTCATCTTCTGGCACAATATCAGAAAATGTTCTACTACTATTCCTGAGGTTTTCAGTGGCTACTTTGCAGAAACGGACTGTCTGTCCTTTGTAATTTTTCCTACTCTGGAATCTCAACTGAAACCTGTTCACCCTGAGTGACCCTGATGGTATTTAATATGCAGGTGGCATAGCTTCCAGCATCACAGCAACACACAAGCCACCCTAGTATGACAGAATGACAATTATTTATGTTATTGAATCTTAATTTATTACTTCATTGTACATTGTTGTTTCTTTTAAAAATTGCTTGGGAGTGATGTACACACAAAGAATTATTAAGTTGTTTTCCTCAGTCTATGATTATTAGAAACGTTTACTTTGAGTTGTCTTTCATGTTTCTGTTGTTGTTGTTAGGTGCCATCAAGTCGGTACCGACTCATAGCGACCCTATGAACAACATAAGGAAACACTGCCTTGTCTTGGGCCAACCTCACAATTGTTGCTACGTTTGAGCCCATTGACACTGCCAGTTTGCCAGTCCATCTCACAGGGGGTCTTCCTCTTTTTCTCTGACCCTCCACCTTACCAAACATGATATCCTTCTCCAGCGACTGGTCCCTCATGACAATATGTACTAAGTATGAGACATGAAGTTTGGCCATCTTGGTCTCAGAGAGCATTCTGGCTGCACTTCTTCCAGTACAGATTTGTTGGTTCTTTTGGCAGTCCATGACACTTTTCAGTATTCTCCTCCAACACCATAACTCAGAAGCATCAGTTCTTCTACGGTTCTTCTTACTCACTGTCCACCATTTACATGCATATGAGGTTATTGAAAATACCATGGCTTGGGTCAGGCACACCTTAGTTCTCAAGCTGATATCTTTGCTCTTCAACACTTAAAAAGGTTTTGTGCAGCAGATTTACCTAATGCAATATGTTGTTTGATTTCTTGACTGCTGCTTCCATGAGTGTTGGTGGTTGATCCAAGAAGAATGAAGTCCTTGACAATTTCAGTCTTTCCTCCGTTGATAAGAATCTTGTTTATTTATTGGTCCAGTCGTAAGGATTTTTGTTTTGTTTACATTGAGATGCAATCCAAACTGAAGGCTGTGCTCTTTGATCTTCATCAGTAAGATTTTAAGTCCTCTTCACTTTCAACAAGCAAGGTTGTATCATCTGCATATCTTACATTGTTAATGAGTCTTCCTCCAATCTTGATGCTACATTTTTCTTCATGTTTCTGCACATAAATCTTAATATATTCAACTCTGACTTGTATATAATTGCAGGTCTGTTTTTAGGAGTGTCTGTGATGTACAAGGGGGCTTCAAAAAGTTAATGGAAAAATTCCATTCTTTTAATTACATTTTCCAAGCACTCTTCAGCCATCTGGTATATATATATAATTTCAAAGACAAGTATACTTTGTCCTCATTTACTTTTACTTTTGTTTCTGATGGAAGTTTCCTTCAAATTGGTTGATTATCTCTAAATGTAAAGAAATTATAGAAATGAGGGTGAAATGCTTAACTAGTTACCAAAACTAAGATTTAGAACCAGCACTGGACTGGGAACCACCAGGTCAGCAGTTCAAACCCATAAGCTGCTCCTTGGAAAAGGGTTTCCTATACAGGGTCACTATGAGTCAGAACCGACTCAATAACAGTTAACAAGAACAACCAGGTGTGGCGCTGTAGGATAAGCAGTGGACTACTAAACACAAGATTTGCAATTCACACCCACCAGCCACTTCTTGGAAACCCTGTACAGTGTCTCCATGAATCAGAATGGTTCAAGGACACCACAACATTTGCATAACTTTTTCTTTGGTAATCTGTATGTTTATATAATAATTTACATGTAGACTTTGTGATCCGTTTTGACCGCTGTGCTTTCTTCTTTTTAATGGAATGTTAGAAACTCTGTGTCTTTTTCACTTTGAAATAAAAATCTATATTTGTAATTCCTTTATTCAAACATTTGAATACAGTTCAGGTAACTTTTTTTTTTTTGTATCACCTGTCTGATTTTTATAGGAAATATAATGGCCACATTGAAAGTAAGCCACTAACCATTCCAAAGGACATTGATCTTCATCTAGAAACAAAATCAGTTACAGAAGTGGATACTTTAGGTAAGGGAAATCCATAAATTTCAGTTTTATATTACATTAGTGAAAGTACTGAGAATTTTATCTGTCGTGGCTTTTTTTTTTTTTTTTTTTCTGTTTTGTTTTTTAAATCAAGTCATACAGAATATGAATTCTAAGGACTCAAAATAACTTCATTTGCTATAATTTTTTTTCCTATTAAGCTATAGAAACTGGTAAACATTTCCCCTTTTTCAGAAGATGCTAATTTAGAGAAGTTTCTTGTCCAGTTTCTTTTCTATACTGACATAACAATCTTAAGGACCTTTATTTCTAGACTTGTTTTTGTTATGCCTGTCTATTCATTTTGTAATGTGGTTTGAAGAAATACATTTGTAGATATGTATTGAATTACGTATATTTATAATCATTAAATTTTATGCTTACATCTTATAGAAAGGAACGTGGTACTTCAGGATAATAGCTTAAGAACCTGAAAGCTTTCCTTTTTCAAGATTACATTTTACCTTTTGGGTTTGTGTGAATAAATCATTTAGGTTTGCTTCCCCACATGTCTGAAATTCTGTGATTTTATAATGACTATATTGATTGTAAGGAGCTCTGGTAGCATAGTGGTTACAAATTGGGTTGCAAGCCACAAGGTCAGCACTGCGAAACTACCAGCTGCTCCACAGGAGAAAGATGAGGCTTTCTGCTCCCATAAAGATTTACAGCCTCAAAAGCCCTCTATGCAGGGTCACTAGGAGTCAGAACCGACTCCACATTACATAAGAACAACAACAACATATTGATTGTACGTAAAATGAAAGTTACATGAAATTATTCAGATGTTAGAAGGAATGAAAGTTACATGAAATTATTCAGATGTTAGAAGGGAATAGACTCTAAGGTAATATTTAAAACAGAGATTTCCAGACTTGGCTGTACATTAGAAAATTTGAGTGGCTCTTAAAGATAAAGATTCTCCAGTCCTTCATGATGAGATTTATTTAGTAAATGTAGAGTGGATTCTGGAAATCTGTATTTTTAAAATAGTACTCCAAGTGACTTTGAATTATGATCAGGTTTGAGATCTCCTGTTTGCATGAGGAATGAGGAAATGAAATAACACTTTAAAAAATAGCTTTAATACTCTATTAAAAAAGTATTATTATATAACTGGACTTTTTTATAGCCAAGTCAGATCAACTTTAAAATTTTTAAGAGCTATCCAGTATCTCAGATAGGAATCCATCAGCCACTCCATGGGAGAAAGATGTGGTTTTCTGCTCCCATAAAAATTTATAGTTTTGGAAACACTGTGCAGGGACACTGTAATTGGGAACTGACTGTATGGCACACAGAAGTAGCACCAGTAGCTCAAGTGAAATAGTTTTGTGAAATAAAGTTGCTCTATATTTGAAAGGATGAATATAGTAGGGTGTCTGTGGCCTGAAAATTTCAATGATGAACAATATGAATTGGTAGTTTAGTATCATTCAGACTCTTAAGACTAGTTATGTCAAAAAATTTTTTCTTTTATGAAAATTTAAAACCATTTTAAAGTAGTTTGGCCTTTTGATCAGTAGTGACATTTGCTTTACTTTAGCTGTTTGCTTGCCTTATATGAAATGTCCATAGATGTATAAACACAATAATATATAATCATCTTCCTTAATTTTTAGCAGTTTTTATTATCTTTAAACAAATAATTTGTTTGCTAATTAACTTTAATAAGAGTATATAATAATTAAGAATATTGTGTAGTTATAAGTGCTTTACCTATATTAATTCATACAATTGTGAGAGGTAGGTAATTCTTATAACCATTTTTAAAAAGCTTATTAGAAATCTGAGGCATAGAGACATTTAACTTTGACCAGGTTACACTTGTAGTATGGTAAAGCCGGTCAAATGTTTTGATGAATTTCGAAACTTGAAATTAAGATAATGGATAACAACAGTTGCAACCTTAATAGGGATTCAGCATGTAGTTTATTCAGTATTCACTTTCTCTTGCAAAGTTATGAGAGCTAGTTGTAATAACTGGTTTTATAACTACAGGAACATTCCATATGACAGGACAATATTGCATTTTGAGCCCTAAGGTTTTATCCACAAATGTATTCATTTGTGAATTTATGCTAAGTGTGTGCATCAGGTAAAAACAGAGAGTATTTTGACCACTACATACCGTACTTCTGGAACTTAATGTAAACCACTGGGCTCCAAACTATAAAAAAGTACATATATAGTTGCATTATAAAATACAAAATGAAAAATACAGTTGTAACAGTAGAATTAAATATTTGACCAAGAATATATATATATACATATATGTGTATATGGAATCATGGTGTGGTGCTGTGGGTTAATGCGCCAGACTGCAAAGCCATTTGAACTACAAGGTTGGCAGTTCAAGCTCACCAGCTGCTCCTTGGAAACCCTATACAGGGTCGCTATGAGTCGGAATCGACTCGACAGCACTTCACAACAATATGTATATATAGATACATTCACACTGGACTACGAACCATAATGGTGGCAGTTCAAACCCAGCAAGTACTCCTTGGAAACCGGGGTAGCTGTGAATCAGAGCCAAGTTGATGGCACTTAATAACGTGTATATAGTATATACTTGTGTTCTCATATATATATTCATTATGTCTATAATAATAAACTTTTCTCCCCCGAGCTTAACTGTATTCATGTCATTATGGTCAACCCTACTTTGAGGAGGCATTTTTTTCCACAATCGCTTTCTGAGTGCCCTCCCACCTTCCAGTCCTATATCTAACAATGTTTCTCTGCTATGCATAGAGTT